TTCTTTGTATCTGCTTGTGGAAATAACTTTCTGCTTAGGTAAGTTAGATGTCTTTAATGTTTCATCTTTAACATAATTCTGTTTTAGGTGAGATACACTTGTCCTCAGAGCCAGAAGTAGGGTGGTCCCCATTTCCTGGTTTGAGTTTGTAGCTTCTCCAAGACTTGAGGATTGTAGGTAAAGTAGCACATACTGTATGGAACATTTATTTTTGAATAAGACACTAGTCTAACTGATCCAGGAGATACTATTTTAGCTACCATGCCCCTGTGCAGAATTACAACCAACTTGCAGTGTGGCTTTTCCTTTTGTCTTCTAGAATGCCTGCATCTCACTAAAATATTCAGAATGACAATGTTTTATTTATTTTGTGTTTACCTCTCTATTTTGAGAGGCTTATTTACTAGAAGTGCTCCCATTTTTCTCTAAATGGATTTCTGTTAGATGCTCAGGATCTTGCAGGATCAGACAGGTTAAAAACTAAAGTGTTAATATCTGATATTTGCTGCTCCTCTCAGTGGTGTAACTATTAGCTAACTTTCTGTCACAGTGTTCCCAACACTGTATGTTACCTTACCCACCAGGATGGTGCTGGAAAGCAACTGACATATTCTTAGAACCAACAGCAAAAATAATGTTTCCTTCATCATCTTTTTTTCCTATCTCTATACCCTTTTTAAAACACAGTACACACTTGGTCTTGTAGTACTATGTAACTCTAGAAGAGCACACTCTTCTAAAGGTATGTATCATCTGTTTTTATCCAAATCAGCTGTGAATCCTGTGAAGTGAGTTGCAAGATTTTAACATCTGCTTCTGCTTTAGTATGGCTAGTTTAATATGACATCTTCTAGGAACCCTCTTTAGAGGACTTGCTGTCATACCTGACCAACCACTAAAGCCAAATAAGTTTGCAGTGCCTTGTAACCTCCTGTGAGCTTGATAAGGCCTTTGGGGTACTCTTGCCCTCTGTCCTATCTGCTCTGAAGTAACCTACTGCAATTAACAAAAAATAAAAATAAAAAATACAGCAAGTCAGTACAGATAGTTCATATTTTCTCAGTGCTCCAAACATTGTTTTTTTCTGCTACATGAAGATGGTGCAACTTCCAGTGTCAGCCTTTAAGGGAAGTAGTAGATGCCACTCAAACAATTATTTAGCATTTCTATTACATGTGAATGTCTAACCTCTGCAATTCAAATTGATTTAGTATTTTAAATTGGATTGCACAAAACGTGATAAAATACTGAAAATATGAATCAATTGGCTTGGTGTGATATAATTTGATTCTTCTGAACTTATATGGTTTACTGGTGCTGGCTTTGATAATTAAATGGCTTTTCAACATGGTCATTGTTGACCTAATTCTATTGGCAGTGTAGTCAGTGGGAGTTCTAATATTGACTGCAGTGGGAACAGTTAGACCAACAGATTGCATTAGAAATCCCATGCTGTGTGTTTAATTTCACTTCCTGATAAAACAATCTCTAAATATTAAAGTGAATTCTTGCCAAGACAGAAAAGCAGAACATGGCACTTTTTTTGTCTTTACTGTCTTCTATATCCACTGTTATTAATGCAGTAGCCAAGTTACCAGATGAAAAAGAATGCCTTTTTCTCCAAACTTTAGGACACAAAATTTTGTATCTCTTTCTCTGTTTTCAGAGCTGGCGTTGCTGGTTGATTAAATTTACATTGGTCAATTTTTTCTCTCAACAAGCAAACAAGACAATAGAAGAAAAATCCAGGGGGATTTGACTGCCTTATCCAATTTAGGATAAAGTTGCATCCTTCTTATGCCCTATTAAATGTCCATCATTCTCCTGAATGTTTGGGAATTACTTTCTTTTCATGCTCCATTGTAGGTTAGTGTTAATATTATTTCTCCCCTACCAGCTCTTATTCTCTGTTTAATTTGTCCCACCATGGTATCTGAACAAATGATGAATAACCTGAGTTTTGAGCCAGACCTCAGAAGTTATTTTGACCATTTGTTGGTTCTTACAGTTTTCCTGCTGAGACAAATTAGTCTGTTAATAATTAGAGTATTATGTTTCCCTTATCACCTTGCTGTGGTTTATTTCATTTACTTCAGCAAGGTTATTGAGTTGCTTTATAGAAGAGGCTTTTTTTATGTAGACACAGACACACACACACACACTGAGGGATTTGCTTTCCACTTCTGCAGGTAATGTTAATTAAACTATCCACTGTGAATCATTAGCTAATGAATCTGTAGGTAGTTGACACTAAATAGAAAGTAGAGCATTAGATCTTCATCAGTGCTTTAGGGAGCCTTGAAAACTTCTGATTTCTTGCTGGAGTGCTTCACGATGGCACTGCAGTGTGCTAACATCTGCTCTCCTCTCTCTGTCAGCAGGCTGTATGTGGTACAGAAATAACACAAAGTGCCACCCATTTTCTCTGATCTGTAGGGCGTTTTTCATGTTCCTTTTTAGAGGGTGTAGAAATAATCTTCAGCTGGCACCAGGGTAATAGCAGTTCTAGCTTTGCAACACTAGACTAGACACTCTTGCATGTAGTTGTTGAGCATGGGAGTTTAGATATAAATGACTCTATAAATTAGTAATTCAGAGTAATGTTTAGTAATATTCTTCTTTACCTCAGGGGAGTGTATCTTACACTTCTACTTACAGTAAATAGGAATTCTAGCATTCTTGAAGGATAGCCACTGTTTCTTACTCCCTGCAGTTTGAGTTATAGGGCAGGTGGCCATTGGGACATGGGTTTTAATTTTTTTTAGGGAATGTTAAAAGTATATGTCTGGCTTTTGAATTAGTAGAGGCTGTCTCTGTCATGGTGAAAACTGAAAAAAAAGTCTAATCTATATTTTTCCCTTTTAGGCATTTTTCCACATTGTCAGGAGATTGTGTGCACAGTAAATAAATAGGGAAGTACAGGATGGACTTCTCACATCAGGAAGTCGCCTTGGTTAGAAAATGTGTCTGAAAATGTTTTTGTGGATGCTAAGACCTGTGGCTAGTGGCAATTTAACTTGAACAATTAGGTCCTCTCGGTCTCTTGATTTAGTCTGTAGACTTTGACCTTTTATCTCCTGTTTGCTGGAGCTAATTCCTCATTCCTTTTGAAACCTGCTGCTGAGATTCTCTTCAGCTGGAGAGTTCTGTAGAGTGTAGTCCTGCTGTTGTTCCTCTTGCTGATATTTGTCCGTTTCAAAAGTATCTTTCAATTCTAGTAAATGTCCAAAGCAAATGCAAACCCTGAAAACTGTTTTGTTGCTTTTTGCCCAGAGCTGCACATCAATGTTGTTTCAGAAGCTGCTACATGGAGGTTTTTAAAAAGTGTTTATTGCCTTCTGCTAGCTCTTACTGTGTGGGGCAACACCTGGAACATGACACTTTTTTCCTTCGGTCTTTTCTCTTTAGCAACAAAAGTTGATATGTCAGCACTCAAGTGTGCAGGATTCCTTCTGGTATTGATCTGCATCTTAATAGGCTGGAGCCTGTGTTAAAAGAGCAGCAGTAGCTTTTACATTTCTGATCTCAGGAACCCTGCTGGTTCCACAAAATCCTGAGGATGAGGTGCTGCTTTGGCTGTGAACTGCAAATGCTGTATCTACAGTGGGAGGAGAAATAGAAGCTTTGAGCTTGGATTTAGATTTGGTTTTGGTGAAATAGCTTGAAATGCTAACGAGCTTTGCAGAAGAACCTCTGCTTTTGTGTTCCTGGGTTCCTCAAGTGTGTGGGAAACAGCCACGTAATAGACTTTCTTCTCAGCCCACGTTTCTTGCTCACTAACTTCAAAAAAGCAAAATGAAAAAAAATTATAAAATGCACAGCTTGCTGGAGTGGGTTAGAAATGTGCTGCTAGTGCGTTGCATAAGGAATATTTAGTTTCCTAGTGATTTCAAGGCTCTGCAAGTAATATTCTCCCCACAACTGCTTGGGAAGGAGACAGGGCTGCAATTACAGGTGGGGATTTGGAATCCAGGGAGAATAGAGTTGTTACTTGTGCAAGGTCACACAGAGAGTAAATTTCTGAACAGAGGAGAAAGTACTGTTAAGGTCTCTTTCAGAGCTCCAGTCACTAATGGAGTCTCATTATTTTCCTTGCAGTTTAGTGCTGTATAATTACAGGTGCCTTGTGGCCTAGGAATGCAATTTCAGGAATTTTGTGTGATAGGGATTCTGAAGGTTCTCCAGTTTGAACCTCCTGCTTGTTGTACAGCTGTCATTACCAAAATCAGACTGGGCCATCCATGAGTTTGTCCAGCTCCTGTCTTGAGACTTATAAGGATAGCAGTTCTGCAGCCTCTCTGTGAAGCCTGTTCAGTGCTGCACTGCCCTCCTGGGGAAGTGCCTTCCTGTGTCTGCTGTAGGACAATAGATACTAGAGCCTTTCCCCTCATTCCCCAAAGCCCAGACATTTATTGTGAAACAGAATGAGATGTTGTTAAGGTGCAATTTTGTCTGATACTACCTAACATTTCTGATTTAACTGGAAAAGCTTACGAAAAGTGAGATAGTTTTAAGATCTGATGGCACTTAAACTGGACCTTCAGGGAAGGAACACAAAAGAATAATCTGCAGATTAGGCTCTTTTGCCTGCACTTTTGGGAATGAAAATGTGAACTTTAACAGATCTCTTTGACTAACAGAAGGTTCTTCTGAGGACTGGGGTGAGCTTGCTTTTTGCTCTCCTGGTCAAAATTCCGAGTTTTCTCTTTCATTTGTTCAGGTGCTGACATTGATTCATTGACTCTCTGTTGTTTTGTTGATACTTTTGAGACACTGTGAAACAGTGAAGAAAGTGGACTTTAAGGTTACCCTTATATAAAACTATCAAGAGGATTTGGTGCAGTTACTTGTATGAATAGGAAACATTGGAAGCATAAGAACCATTGAATCTCTGTAGCATACTCAGGTTGACGAGGTGATGTCATTGGTGTCTTGTTTTCTTGGAAAATACTTTTATTACATAGTATTTTTAATGTACAATAATTTTCTTTCTTTTGCTGAAGGGACAATGGAGACCGATCCAGGCACCGAGCTCCCCGGAATGCCCGCATGTCTGCACCGTCACTGGGGCGCTTTGTCCCGAGGTAAGGCATCCGTGTGTGAGGGCTAAAAGGGTGGAAGTCTTGGAGGTACCAGTTGCAGTACAGCTCGCTGGTGCTTTCAAGTGTATTCCTTTTCTTGCACAGGGCTTCTTTATCCTTAGCGTGCAGTTTCTGGGACTCCTGGGATGGCATGTTAGTATGAAATGCTTATCCTGTGATGTTTGAAAGATAGCATGGTCTTAGTGCTTTTTACTTACAGGTTAAGGTCACAGTGTGAAGGCAGAATAGGAGAAAAGAATCTGATCAGTGAATCTCAGCACAATGTGCTGGTTTGAGATTAGGAAACTATTGTGGGAGGTAGAGGATTTGTTTAGTGCTGATCTTTGCAGCTACGTTGATCAGAGGAGGATCTAATCTGTAATTTACTTTTTTGTTTGAAGCAGGGAAGCAGTTGGCTAAGCAGAGGATTCCAACCTTCCCTTTACTGTAGTCTGCTGGAATGTAGTCATATTTCCTCAAAGTAATTGCAGTTGCTCTTCAGAGCTGTAGTACACAGGATGGCTTTCTCCATGTTTTTACTCTTTGTTTTGCAGACGCTTCTTGCTGCCAGAGTACTTGCCTTATGCTGGGATTTTCCATGAACGGGGACAGCCTGGCTTGGCCACCCATTCCTCTGTCAACAGGGTCTTGGCAGGTAATGAGATTTCCTTGTTTGCAGTTGTCATGTATATTAGTGGTGTTTTCTCATGAATCTGAGCAGAGAAGGATTGATGAGGAAAATTAATTCCAACTTTTGAGGTTCTGTGTAAGTTGTCTGAAGCCAGAGAAGGGACTGTTGGATTGATGTAGTGAGCTGTCATTCAAGTGCTTGAGCATTGCAGATTCCATGCTTCAGGTATATGTGTGGAAGTGTCTGCATGAATTTGGGACGGGTGTTAACAATTCTCCCTTTATTTAACTTCTTTCCCTATTCCTAGATGTCTTTTTTTAAACAACCTGACAGACTAATGATCAGCTTGCTGCAGGTCCTTCTAATTGAATTATAGGGTGCCTTGTTCATGTTCCGGCTAGGAAGACGCACACAAGGCAATGTGGGATTCAATTAGGATCTTAATAAGTGCATATTAAAGAACTCAGCTGCCACCACATACAGCACACAGGCATTTGGGAGCCTTAGAGGGCAAGCGGAGGTGGGGGAAAGAGGAGGAGGAGTATGGCAGTCTGGCAGTTCATGAATGAGATGGTTATAGATGACACATATCTTGAGGGTGAGTCTTTTCTGGCTGGGTCTGAGTTGCTCTGTAATTAACCCCAGTGCGGGGGAGTCATTTTGAAGCTTGGGGAAGAACAAGAGGTGATGTATGGACAGGTAGTTGGGATGTGGTTTTCCTACTTCCTTTACGTAGTCACAGGACCATCACTGAAAGGAGTGCTGAAAGGTTTCTCAAGAGGCTGCATGACCCTTTACCTTATCCTAAGGCACAATCATCTGTGCCTAAACCATTTATGACAGGGTTTATCTAACCTTTTTTTATTGGAGTTTTCCCAATCATTTTGGGGTAGAACTGTTGCCAGTTTTGCAGTGCTGGTTTAGTATGGCAGTGGCCTTGTCTTTGATAATAGATTTCCATCATCTTCCAGACTTCTGTCTCCCTGGACATTTTGGGTTGAGTGGTTCCTAGTGCTGTTTCAATAATTGTAAGAACTCAGCCAAAGGCTCATCCTGAGCACATCTGCTTGTATCCCTTAGGAAACAGTGGAGCTAACCTGTAGCATTAGCTGACACATGTACTTTGCTGTGCTTGCTGCCTGTGTGGGCTTTGGCTGTTGGCACGTGGAAGCAGCACACTGGCAGAAAATTACTTGCTGCCAGGCAACACTGCAGAGCTCTTGTGTCACCTAGATTTGCTGGAGTCACCTGCCTTCATCCCTCCTCCAGGCCTCCTTGCAGTTTGCTTGTTCCATTGTGGCTGGGAAATAGCCTGGCTTTTTCATCTATGCTTTTTGGGGAATTTGAGCCCCAAAACACGCATGCTTGCTGTTTCCTGCATGTTTGCCAAGGAAAACAAAGGGAGACTGTAAAAGAAAAAGAAACTGTAATAATGGGAGTTTCAAAAAACAAGATCAATCTTTTCTGTGTGATCTGTGAGCCTTTGTAAGGCAAGGTTTGTTGGCTCTGGCAGTGTTGTGGAACCTCACACTGGAATAGCTGGGGCTCCACAGTAAAGGCTTTTATTGACTTAAATATAAAAATAATTCTTCCAAAGCAGTAACTGCTTATGTTATGTTGTTTGAATATTTGGTTTCTTTTACTCATGCTTTCAGCTTTCAAAATGTTTTTTTATGTCCATGTTTCAAAAACTTGTTCGTATGTTGCAGAGAAAATGAGAGTTGAAATTGCAAGTATTAGGGGGAGGCATGACAGACAAGAACTAGAAGATGAGGTTGCAATTGTGGAATAGCCAGAGAAAGTCTTACATTTGATATGTTGGTCAGCAGCATTGTCATTTTCAGTATTGTATTTCAGAGCCATTGAAAGTTACAGTGCTGATAGTATATTTTCCTTTATATTTAGCCTGTGCCAAGGCTTGTGGTAGTTCTTTCTTCAGTATCATGGTGAAAAACCTCTGTTCAGACTCAAAAGTACTTTAACCCTGGCCTAGTAGTTACGGGTGAGGTTGACAGCCTTGAATGAGGAAGAAATCAATCATCTATTTTCCCATTAACATAGGCTAATCTAAGCTTGAATGCTTTGAATTACTTCATTCTAGCATGTATGCAGACTGTCATTTTTGAATTATGTTTAAAGGCAAAAATGCCAAATGTATTTCTTATGTAACCTCTACAGCATTTGAGAAGAGATACCAAAAAAGCCCTGTATTGCTAACCTGGCAGGTTTTTTTAAGCTGACAGTAGACTTCTGTGATCAAGTATAAGTAAGGACTGCTGTTTGGGAAAATACATCCAATTACACTTCTGCTCCTGTCCACTGCCCCATTTACTGCTATATGCTGAGAGGAAATCAAAGGAGCAGATGGAGATCTTAGTGTGTGAATTACTGTGGTGTGCTGACTAAATTTCTTAATGTCAGAGCTATTGCTGTCAGGTTCTGTCCATTTACTTTCAGCTCTCTTCTTTATGTGAGCAGCTTTCTGTTGTTTAAGTGTCATTCTCATGCAGGTGTAACACGGACAATTGCTACACACTAGGGAATACTGCCTTGAGACTAAATCCTTGGAGTCAAGTTTAATGAACCTCTAAAAATTACAGGTTATCTATGCAGATGGACTAGCACAGCAATGCAATGGGTTGGGCAGAATGACTAACATGCCAGGCAGAGCTTAGGTCAAATCAGAGCCCTTTGTACTAGTCAGGGGTCTGGTGGCCATCCCTGTGCCAAGGCACTTCCAGGCGAAGCATGGGAAAGGTGGCAGCAGATGGGTAGAGTAGGTGGGAGCCCAGGGGGAGAATGAAGCAATACCAGTCACCATGACAGACAGGGACATCTCCATGCCAGCAGCCTAATTTGCATGGAGCACTGGATCAGCAACTCGCCCCAGTAGCACCTGCCTGCCTCCTTATCGTGTGCAGTTCAGGCCTTTCAGCTGATACAGAATGCTGCATCAGTGTGCTTTCTGCACCGAGTATAACACCATGTGAAAATATATTGCATCAACATTGTTACCTTTAGCATTGAAACTTGTAATCACACCAAAAAGTGTTGGTAGTTTGACAAGTTATATTTTTCTGTAAAGTCTTCGTTGATTGGCAGTAATTACACTGTCCTCCTTTAATCCTTTATTAACTGAGTCTTATATCAGCTTTTTCATTATTTTGTCTGGAATCAATGTCAGGTTGACAAGACTGACAGTCTCATCCTATTTCAACCTTTTAAAATACTGGTATAACACTAGCATATTTTTCAGTCTTCCATTTTCCCCTTTACTTCAAGACTCATCAAGAAACCTGAGCTCTTTTAAGGCTCTTGGTAGTGTGGGCTGCAAGTCACCCTCTGCCCTCTCTTCTCCTTGGTGAACTGCCCTAAGTGATGGAATTGTGGTCTCCAAGGAAACATCCATACAGTGAAAGCTAGTTCAAGTGGTTGTTTGCTAAAGTGGTGATGAAAGCAGTAAATATATTTTGATTTCTCACTTTGTAAGGCTGATTAATTGCATGTGGCAGTATAGGTGGAATACTGCATCTTGGGGCCATTTCAGCCTTAGAGTCTCTTGGGTTCTCTGCCATTTGTGGGCCAACAGAGTGGGAGTTTGATTTTTGGTTTGGTTTTCTTTCTTTTTTCTTTTTTAAATTATTTTTTTCCCTTCTACACTTCCCAGGAGATACAAAAGAGATGTTCTGGAGGATGAGGTTACACCTTTTCTTGTGTGAGTTAGTACTGCTACAGAGCTCAGCAGCGTTAATATGTCCAAGGAACACACAGCTCAGTGTTGTGTTTACTACCTCCTATTGCTTTTTTGAAATGTTTCTGTAAGCTGAGTATTTCTGCCCACTGTTTTGTTTGCATTTGTTGTTTATTTGTTTCTTTGGTTCATTTATTTGTTGGTTTTGGTTTGGTCTCTTTTTTTTTTTTTTTTT